TCGTCTGAATGTTGAGGCCTTTAACTCAGAGTCTTCTCCAAGCCACACTAGCAAATGTTCTTCAAACTCTGCCACCAGGAGCTAGCAATGAAGAAACTCTCTAGTGTGTTCATGTAACATAGATTCTTATCATTTATGTACAATGATGATAACCTGCATAAATAAAACACACATCAAATAAACCATTGTTCTTTTAATACTTTGTTATCATCAAAACCAAAAGATAATATGTCAAGAATAGATCTTATTCTAACAAATAACACGTCATAACCCTCAATACCCAAATGGTCATTATCGGGGTAGCATATTCACTAAAATGCAAACTCTTGGCGGGTACAGTAAAAGAGGCCTCCCTGAGGTGGTACATGAACTTAATGAGATTTTATACAACCATTTACTAGGATCTCACCGGTAATTTGATTCATCATTTCTCGGTGAGCAAGCATAAAAGAGTCTCGACCACTAGCTTATTTAATGTTCATCGTGGAAATGTTGAATCTCTAAGAGAATATTTGGCTAGGTATAACAAAGAAACTATTAAGGTGATCCTTCCTAATCAAGAAATGTTTGTGGGGTCTTTACAAAATGGCCTTAAGATGGGACAATTCAATGAGCCACTCGCACAGAAGTTGGCAGAATCAGTGGAAGAAATAATGGCCATGGCATAATATTATGTGAAAGGCAAGGAGTGTAATTGTGAGAAAATAATGAGAGATGCAAAAGAAGATAATATTGGGAAACCTGAATAATCTTATTATAAGAGTAATTTACACATTTAGCCCAAAGCGAGGTAGGAGTGCATTTGAATTACCACAGAGGCCACTGGATAACTTCAAACCTTTAAACACTCAGAGAGGTCAAATACTATAAGAAGTATATCATACAAGAGCCATTCCTCCCCCGCCCCCCCCCCCCCCTAATGAAAAGAAAAGAGGTGATGGGGAATGACCTAGAGAAATGATGTAATTATCTTAAGGTGAAGGGGCATCATATAAATGATTGTCAGCAATTAAAGAGAGTGATTGAACTTTTAATATAAGAAAGCCACCTAAGGAGATATCTGCAAGGAGTTGCACAAAACATATATGAGAAGCCATCCTAGCTTAAAAGAACTCAATCAAGAAGCTTATAGGCAAGAAGAAATAGAGAAACAAAAGATACTTAGAAAGTGTGACATGCACTCAATGCTATTTTTGGAGGTTTTGTAGGAGGGAGAGTCATACTCCTCTCAAAGAAGGTATGCCCATCAGGCCATGCACATTTTTGAGTTGTTATTAGAGTTCAAAGTAGCATCTTTGTCCAAGATTTCCTTTTCACAACGAGATGTGATGGGAATATTACATCACAGGGATGACATCACCATTAATGTGCGGATATTCGAGTGGGATATCAATGTTGGAGTATGCCTTAATAACTAATCAGTATTGGTTGTATTTTCTTTTGTATCATGATCTTGACATATATTATTTGTTAATATATACTTACTAGGCTTTATATTTATTGTGTTATTAGTATATGACATGATTAAGTCCTTAGAATAATAAGTTCATCTAATGGTACATTAAGTGTTATTTAATCTTGAGACATCATTAAACATAAGGATGTTATTCTTAAAGTATACGTAGTCAAGCTTAATTGTCACATAAGACAACAATGATGCATATATACTTTTATGTGAGTAGACTGGTGGCCCTTTATCGTGGTCATGAATAAGAGATATAAAGTCTTCATATAGGTATATCACATTAAGAAAAGGGAAAAGAAAAAGGAGAAGAAGCACTTATAATTGATTTAAAATCTCTAACTCAGTTCCTGTAAAAAAATCTTTATGATGGGTTTTAAATTTATGATCATAAAAGGAGATTTGATCAATACCATCAACAAACATTGGGTGGCGACTACACTTTTTCTCTCTACTTGGGAAAGATATGATACTTTGTAACAAAGGTCTACCTTCACATGACCAAATATATCTTGACTCCAACGCCGAAGGAATCCAAGTTAACATGTTGCTTCATAGACCTCCTTTTCAAAATTACATATTTGCAGGTGAGCCGCGACAGTAAGAGGCTCAATCAAAACATTACAAAACTTGAAAAATTTTATAGACTCGATAATAGCCTTGAACATTTTTGGAGATTGTTTGAAATGGATTATGTCATAGGGGAAGCGGAGTCTTCCCAAGCAACCAAAAATATGTGGAAGAAGACCCTCAAAGAAGCTTTTTTATCCAAATATTGACATACAGATTGGAAAGCCCTAATAAAGGACCAATAATTAGGATGCAACCGTGAAGGTGTTGATACCAAATAAAGAAGAATCTCTTGTTTAAATGTAGTAAACGGGAGGAAGAAACTCAACATGGAAAAAGAAGGATGGGAAACTTTATTGTGAAGGTTGGAATGTTAACTTTTTAAGCATTGGGAAGACCTCGTACTTCAATAACAACTTAATATTTCTTCGATTCAGACAAATTGGAATATACCAAAGAGTTTCCCAAGTAAATTTCATTTATCAAGGAGTACGAGATGCATTTAACCTCATCAATTAAAGGTTCAGAAGAGTACTTGATGACATGAGACATTGTGCCTAATCACATAAAAAGAAGAATGGGGTGTAAGGAAAGAAATCTCGTTTTATCGCCACTCTTCTTCACATGAATGAGACGACGACAGATAAAACACCCACATTAACCTAAAACCACTATCATACTACATCTACCATAACCCATTAATATAATGAGACACAGATGATGGAAACTTAACATTATAGTGTTGAGATTGTTGAAGAATGAAAAAAAAAAAATCTTCAATGCATAGTAAGAACACTGATAGTAAGAGTATGAAATGACAAGGAGAGTTTGAAGAGAAGACGAAAAAAGAAATGTAAGGTATTCTACTATTTATGTGTGTGTTCCACAGAAATAGCATACAAAAAGACAAATTCCCACAATCTAGAAATATGAAAAGCAAATGGCTAATCTGTTAAATATGGAATTCATTGTTTTAGAAATATTAGATTTGATTTAGAAAGGTCAGATTTGATTTAGAAAGATTAGATTAGATATTTTTGAGCTTTTATAGTTTGGGCTTTAACTTGAGATGCAAGTTAACCTAAATTTATAAATAGGGAGAAAACTCTTATCATTGTAAATAAATCAAGTTTGATAATCACGGTTTTACAGTTGCAAAGTGATAATAAAACTCACAGTTGTGGGCAGAGAGTTACTCTGCAGTTCATACTCATCTTCTTTAAATGTATTCTTGTTTTCGTTCATTGTTATTACATAACAATCTTGAGATCAAGATTGAGAAGAATTCACCATAGATCATGGTTTAATTCCAACATAAGTGTCTACCAGTAAGCAAGGAACATGTCATCAATTGCATCGTGGGAATAATAACGGCAATGGAAATTCCTAGAAAAATCATCATATTAGGTCTTTAATGATAGGTCATCACTCTAAAAGTTACATATTGACACGTGGTGGCCGACTAAGGCAACACAATTCAAGAAACCCTATCATTTTTTGACAAATAGGGATAAGAATATCAAGAGCTCAAATGTGAAACAAGTAAGTGACAAATTAAATATTGACTAATATCGTCATCCATTTTTACAAATAGGGATAAGAATATCAAAAGCTCAAATGTGAAACAAGTCGGTGACAAATTAAATATTGACTAATATCGCCATCCATTTTGACAAATAGGGATAAGAATATCAAGAGCTCAAATGTGAAACAAGTCATTGACAAATTAAATATTGGCTAGAGACAATGGAAATTCCTAGGAAAAACCATCATATTAGGTCTAATGATAGGTCATCACACTAAAAGCTACAAGTTGACAAGTGGTGGACAGCTAAGGCATCAGATTTCAAGAAACCCTATCATTTCCTAACAAATAGATAAGAATATCAAGAGACCAAACCTGAGACAGATCAATGATGGATGAAATATTCACCAATATCGTCATCCATTTGACACCCTCTTGAAATGATTTCACAAGCCATGTCCCAGCTCTGCTAAACCAGAATTGGGGATGACTGTTTCAATGTTAACCATCATGAGTGATGAGATCTAGGGTAACAAGAAAAGGTGGTGTAAGAAGGAAGATGCACAAGATATCGGGAACATATCAAACTCCGCCCTAAGGATACACCCAATTAATATACGTGACTAAATGAAGTCTGTTAGATAATGTAACGAGTAATATTACAACACCTGCCCGTCAGAAGAAGGTTTTGGACTCCTAGAAACCCTAGAGCTTGCCTATAAAAAGGATATAACTTCATAATTAAGTTACACTCTCTAAAATCTAAAACTGTCCTTCCCTGCCTTATTGAGTCCCTGACTTGGATGTATGAGTGTTTGTAGTTACCGCCTCTAATTTTTTTCTTACACGGAGAAAAGCATTAACAAAAGAAGCACTATTGAAATCTGTCATTCTGTCAAAGTTGAGTTTGTCACCAAAACATATGAGGTCCAGATTGGATCAGTAGGTATGGGACTGAACCATCAATAAGCATTTGTTACACAATATTTCATTTAATTCTCCATTTTTTTAGGTATATTTCGGAAACTGCATTATTTTCATAATTGATAAAATAGCTAAGTAAGCATGTTTCAAGTAATCTATAGTGGAAATATCTCAACAACTATATGTGATTGTATGACAGTGTATATCTTTTTAAACTCAGTAAATAAATATTTGTATTGGTGTGCAGACACAGAGGGAGAGTTCCATCATCAAGGTGCATATTTGATATTTCTCTGGGTTAGTAATTTCAAGAATTCAGAACTGTACAGTATGATACATTACATTAAACTATCAATGTAATACATCAATGTGTTTTTAAACAACAAAAAATAAAACCATTTAACTTAACTAAGTTAATGATAAGCGAAAATGAGCCAAAGTCAAGATATACCTAAAAGTGACAGTAACGTTGCATGTTAATTAAGTACTGTTACCCTCCAGTGCTGCCATGTTCTATCACTATTTTGGCTTCTTCTCAGAGCTTGAAGGGCTATTATCAGTTGCAGAAGCAGCTGCTAGTTCCATCAATCTCTCATAATCTATCTCAGTCGACTTAAACTTAAACTTGACACCAACCTGAATCCATGACTTGATACAGAGAATGGCTTGTGTGCTATCATGCTGCATACAGAATCGTTGCTTGTCAATTTCATCACCCTTGCCACAGAAAAGTTCTTCGGGCACTATTGAAGTTGCCTGCACTGCCAAGAAATCTCTAGCCATCAGAGAAAGTCGAGGGTAGCGTGTACTGTTTATCTTCCACCACTCTAGGACATCCGTTACTATAGCAGCTGGAGCTTCTGATAAGTACTGCGTAAGCTCATCAGTTGCAGAACTCATGTTTGTCCTACGCTTTTTGCGAGCTATTTCTTCGGCAAAGGAAACAATTCCTCCATCTTCAATTTCTTGAGCATTGTAACCAGAACTCATGGAGGAGAAATGGTTAACAGAATAATTTCTGATAAAATGCGTCCTTGCTTCATCCAGAAAACTTTGCGAATTTAAACTATCAGGGATCAACTCTCCCTTTATTCGAGGATCTAGAATAGCTGTCATATATGTAAATATGTTGCAAACTTGACTAATATAACTTCTAGCCTTTTTAGCCATTTCTTCTGCAGCACTTTTTAGCCATTCTGGGCTCGGGCGGGATTCTCTGCAGGTAGCAATTGTTTCTGAGATGTGATCCATGAAGAAAAGGACAAGCCCAACCGTTAGCACCTTGCTCGTGCAGATGTCGTTTGTGGTTTTGTAGAATGGCTCGAGATATTGATGCATGATGTTAACGACGCTTTTTTCAGAAGAGCTCAGGAGTATCCTACTGCCTAGTGTCTCTTCATGTTTACGAACAATCACATCCACGGATTTACCAGCCTGCATCATTAAAAAATATACATTGTTTTACACTATCCGTTGCTTCTAATTTTGAATTTGAGTACATGTGTAATGATACCTTGTGAACAAGATCAAGCATTTGGTAGTTTCCACTCCACCTTGCTGAAACATCGAGAGGAAATTTCCAAGTACCTTCTTGATAAGCCGTAGATATTTGAATAAAATCCTCAGAGATTACTGGCGAGGCATTTAACTCTATTACAAATTCTCTGATCTTCGAAATTACTTGTTTTGCAGATCTCAATCCATCGTCAATTATCAGGTTCAAAGTTCGAGCAGCGCAGGGAATGTAACAGAACGGTCCTATTTTCTGGCCATCCAAGTCCTCTTTCAAACTATGGCAGGCATGCATGGCACTTGAGCTATTATCGTGAGTACACGAAAGGACTCTGCTTTCAATATTATAAAATTTAAGAACTTTCACAGCGCAGCGATAGATTTCTGCACCACCACATGGATAAGGTACGCGACAAATGTCAAGAAGCAACTTCTGAAAGCACCAGTTTTCGTCAATCCATTGACACGTTACACTCATAAAGAAAATCTGTTCAAAGGAAGTCCAGAAATCAAGTGTGATGGAGAATTTACACGAAACCTGTTCTAACAACGCTCTTACATCTTCCCTCATGCTTCTGAAAACCTCGTCAAGTACAGATCCGTACTTGTCACTAGGCCAAATTTGTATAGACGGATTTAGAAACTTGTACGAATTCACAAGCCACTTCTCTTCTAGAGTCGAAGGAGGGAGAGAAGCCAAAACAAGCCACCTAACGAGTAACCAATTTAGATGATCGTAATCAATCTGATTCGGCTTTCCTTGAGGCTGGGACTTTTTGACCACGACAGCAAGCCGACTCGCTGAATTGCTGACAGCTTCCCCAGTCTTATCATAGCCTGGGTGGCGATTAGCAAGATGCCTACCCAAATTGCCTACATAACAAGCAAGCACAATTTAAATAGCAGCTATAGTGTAAGAAAAACTCGCTTCAGCGCGCTAAGAAAAATAGTGCACCTGTGGCGGTTGCGATGGAATAGGTCTGTCCACAAAACTTGCATTTTCTAGTTTTTCCATCGGCAGCGGTTTCGAAGAACTTTAAATAAACAGAAGTCATTGTTTTCTTTCTTGGCTTAAGTGAAGTAACGGGAATTGGCTTTTCTGAAGATGTAAGGCCAATATTTACAGGATCCATATTTGAAACGAGTACTAAATTCATCATGGAGTTATTATTGTCTTCTAGATAAAAAAAATACATGAGTCATGAAAATGAATGCTTCATAAACTAAGATGAAAATTAACCAGCTAAACTAAGGTGTACTCACCTTTGTAATTTCTAAAGTGATTATTATTATTAACACCCCAGTCCATGTAATCATCACCTATTAATATTATTATTATCTGGAATTAAATAAGAGAAAAACAATCAACATTATTAGTGTTTGCAGTGCTTTGTATTTGAAACAAGAAAAAAAAAAAGTGGAATCAAAAAGGAAATTGGGAATACCAGAAAGGGAAAATGGAGAGTTGATGAGAAAGAAATACTCAGTAATTCAGTTTTAGGGGAGAATTGTAACAGTGAATTGGTTTGTGATCAGAGGGAGGGAAAATGGAGGGAGATGAAATTGAGCTGAGGAGGGAGATCGGCGTGTAGTGGATCTGAGCCGAGAGAGAGGGTTGAGTTGTTTTGAGCCGCGTCGCTGCAGATCTAGTTTTTTCTTTTTTTGCTACCACGGCTTCGCTCAAGGGTTTTTTTTTTGTTGAATTACAAAGACAAGAGAGAGAAACACGAGAAATGTGTGTTAGTGAGTGAGTGAGTCGAAGTCGACATGAAGGAGTTGAGTCTTCCTTTCAGCCAGCTTTTCACTAAGCCCAATGTTGCTTTAGTTAGTCGGCTTTAGTTTTCTTTTCTTTTCTTTTCTTTTTTAAACTAGGATTTAATTTGTAACTTTACTTCATTATCACACCCCATTTCTTGATTAACACTCCCGTTTATCTTATCTCAACTTCACTAGTATTCTTGTGAAAAAAACTTCACTAGTATTTATTTACCGGCATGTATCGAACCATGAATTAAATAATTAAATATTTATCACTTGTGCTTAGGGCTGACAATGAATCGAATCAACTCGAAAATAGTTCGAAATTCAATTCGACAATTAAATCGTTGAACTAAGTTTATGAACTAAATGAGTTGAGTATGAGCAAACAATTAAGTTTGTTAACTAAATGAGCTGAACTTGAACCATACATAATTCGACTCGTTAGATTCATATGAGAAGAATTATATTGTCTTTAAGATTAGGTTTAAATATTTATCCCAAATCTTAGACAAATTTAATCTTCAATTTAATAGTTTTTGAATTAGACTCTCAAATGTATCTCTTAAAAGTTGTGTAGGTTTTGAATTAGTATATTTCGAAGATAAAGTTAAATTTCAATATGATAACTTTTATTTTATTTTAATATTTTATTTTTAAATAATATATTTATTTATAATGTCAAATATACTAAAAAATGTATATTTAAAAAAATAGTTTTTAAATCCGTAAATCACGTGAGCTGAATTTAATGAGATGAACTGAACTATTCGTGAACTTATAACGAGTCGAGTTTAAACTTAAAAAAAAGTTTATGTCGAACTCGAACTCGAACCAATTCTTAACAAGTCGAGCCGAGCTGAGATTAGTTCGACTCGCCTCAACTCATTTTCAGCCCTACTTTTTGCCTTAAATATATTGGTAAATTTTTTATTGGTTTTTAATATACAATTTTTAATATGATTTGGTTAGAAAATTAAATCAGCTGACATTATTTAGTTAAAGAAAATAACTTGTCATCTCACAAATTTAAAAGACTAATAGCCTGACTTGCTCTAATCTCTTTGGAGAAACACTAACACACAACACATGACATTCTTTTTATAGATGTGTTGGTGGTAAGTTTTACTGAAATGATCATCTTGCACAAATTGATTCCAGACCAACTTACACCAAGGTAACTTCATTATCTCAAAAACATGGGTGCCATGTGAGATTTGGACTTCAAATTTCAAATGTACAGGCATTTAAAGAGCAATATGAAAGAATTGTTACAATCCTATTCAGTTCAATTACACTGAAATAAATAAGATACCATTTGTTTATGAAAACGTTTAGTTAACTAGCAAACTATTGAGGCAAAGAAGCATTCCGTATTCATATAGCAATAACTTTTAAGAGTAGCTTCTAAGACTTTGGAGCAGAATGAAAGGTTGGTCCCGTAGCAGAAGTTCTTTTGTTAAACTGAAATACTTGCCCTGTCACAAGTTTGCCACCATACAAAAGCAAGAAGGTTGAGCTGTATATTCCTTGTATTGCACAGAGCAAGAGCAAGATCACTCAGATCAAGAATTTGCAATATGGAAAATGTCACCAACAGTTTAAAATTTGAGATTAAAAATACAGAATATAGTTACAAAATAAAAAATTCTCCCCTGCCAACTGAATGCCGCGTTCTCATTTGAAGCATACAATTTAATAATAGCCAACAGCCCTCAGGTCATTTTGTTGTGCCTGTTGCTCAGAATCATCACCCGGACTTAAAAATACAACACGACCTGGGGAAGACAAGAAGTTGTATCTCATTAAGTCAAACACGTCTTATTCTTAAATAATCTTTTCACATCTGTCAAATACTATTTTAAACATAAGCTACAAAAAACCTTCAACTTTAAATAATCCATATACATACAACAACAACAACAACAATAACAACAACTAAGCCTTATCCTACTAAGGGGAGTCGGCTACATGGATCAGCTTTTGCCATAATGTTCTATCAAAGACCATGTTTCTATCCAAATTATGAAAGTACTACAAATATTATGCAAAGGAAAAGTGCTAGTAACACTCTTCCCCAACTCTTTTTTATTAGGTAAAATTCATGTTAATCCTACCATTATAACAAGGACTTATTTCAATGTGGTGGGAACGATATGAATTTTACTCGATCAAAGAGAGTGTGTTAGAGTGACTATCACTAGCACTTCTATCCTCTTTGCCGACATTTACCGTTGAATTTCAAATGCAACTTCCAAAAGAAAACCATATTTCAATTGAAAAATGAGGAAAAATAGAGAATGACTACAAATTTTAATAGGTTTACTAAATGAGCCATGTTTGACCTTTCTCATTGCCATGTGAACCAAACGGACACACACACTTCAATAACTTGCCTTTATTGATTCATACAAAACTTATATTCTTATAAACTTGAAAACTGTTTTAAGCTTGTGGGTCTTAAGGTAAGCAAAGACTAATAGGCCCAAAGCCAGAAGGAAAGGTAATGAAAAAGAGAAATCTCAAATTACTCAAAGAACTTATTATTATTGCTCATTGCCAAAATGTTTGGTGATGAGCCCTATTTATACTATTTCTATAGGGATTAAAAAAAGATGAAGTTCTAGAATAAAGACTTTAAAATGCAAAAGAAAAATCTAGTAAATAAGAACACTCTAGTTCATGTGGCTAGAAATATATAGATATCTTATAAGTTATAACTCTTATATCATTAAAGATCTACAATATTCCCTATCATTCTCAGTCACTAAGAGACTGTTTAAATTAGCTTATTTGGGTTTATATAAAAGCATAAGTGCTTGTTTAATTACTAGTTAGTAGTGAGGGCTTAAAGAAACAACTAATATGACATGTTCATAAACTATTTTCAACTCATATCCATAAACTTTTTGGGATAACTTGTGAGAACAGCATAACACATGAAAACAATGTGACTTTGTTATGTAATAACATACAACTGGCATGTGTAAGAGATACACTACTGTAATAGATTATAAATAAATACGATTGTATAGCACTAAGAAACCCTAAGAAGCACTTGAAAACATCCTTTGATGATATCAGCATGGATTGAAAAGTCAGTTAATTATTTACCATGTCGACGAACAGCAACTTCTCTAATTCGGCGAACAAGTCCGGTAATGGGATCGGAGAAAACCTTAGTCTCGAGGTTTCCTTCAATATACAAAGTTGAGCCAGGAAGAACATTTTTCATGAGAAGATTCCCCAATCTTTCGGGATAAACAGTAACCCTGTGCCATTGAACGGCACATCGATTAGCATATTCCCTAGGGTTTTCATGATCCAGTGGTCTACGGTTGTTGCGAATACCACCGGTTCCAATTGACAGCAGAGTAACCACAGTACCGCTCTTGAGTTTCTTCTGCAACGGTTTTTGCCCTGCTTTGCCTACCAATATTGCCTACACTTCACATAACAGACAAGTTCAGATAAATCAAAATGAAATCATGAATAATTAGGTAACTAATTGGTTGAGAAATTGGATTACTCTGTAAATGCCGGGATCGAGGCCATTCTCAAGGGGCCGATCGTAGAAGGTTCTTTCGGTTTGTTCGGGTGAGGGGGAAAGAGTGGCTGAGTGAGCATCGTCGGAATCGGAGGGGGAGTTGGTGGTGGTGCAGAAGCGGAGTGGAATGTGGTGGTGGTGATGCAGAGTGGGTGTGGAAAGTAAAGAGCGGAAGAGCGTGGTTGTCTTTGAGAGTCCCATTCCAATGGAGTTGGGCATTTTTGTCACTGTTCTACTCTTAAACCCTACAACCTTTCCACTTGAAAACCCCAAACTATAAAACTAAATCAACTATTCATAGAGTGTGCTAAAACAAGTGTTATATCAACTACCTATCTATTAGGGTCTGTTTGGTTCAATCGAGGGGAGGGGAGGGGAGGGATTTTTATCGAGGGGAGGGAAGGGGAGGGGAAGGGAGGGGAGGGATTTTAATTACATATATGTTTGGTTCAAAATATGAAAGGGGAGGGGAGGGGAGGTATTTTATTTACAAATATGTTTGGTTCACAAGGGGAGGGGAGGTATTTTAAAACTAATTTACTTTTTTATCCTTCTAATTTTACCATAAGATTTGTGATATTTACCGTTTATATCTCAAATACAAATTTATTGACGAAATATAAATATTCAATTAGAGATCATCATAAAATATTTTTAAAAAATGCAACGATTATAATATATAATTGGCAAAATTACAGTTTTGGTCCCCATATTATTATAAACAAAAATATTACGATAACTAAAATTAACATTAAAATATGAAAAATAAAATAAAAAATTTTAACAAATATAATGATAGTAAGATGAAGATATAAAAATACAAAAAAAAAAAAAAATTAAATTTATTCAAAATAAAACTTTTAACATTGTTATAACTCATACTACAATTATATATTGATATGTAATATAATACAATAAATTATAAAATAATTAAGTTATTACAAGAAAAATATTAAATAAAAATGAGTAGAATAAAACACATGGGAACAAAGTTGAATCATAAT